AACAGACAAACTTCACAAACTGTTAAACAAAATGGGCAAACCACGTGGATTAAGGAAGAGGACAAGCTTTAAAGACGCATTTGGAAAAATTAGGCTGGAACGATTCAAAAAGTAGTTTTACTGGTAGATGATGATGGCAGCACTTCAAAAGTTCAAAGGGATGGGTTCTATTTATCAACACGATACTCATACCAAGTTTCATAAAAACTCATTTTCTTCAAAAGCTATCGGGAGGGGACACACACACAAACGCACGCACGCACGCACACAGAGTGATAAACAAATAAAATGATACATAAGCCTGTCTGCAATTATAAAATAAAGGCAATACCTAACGAGAATTACAAACATCAATGCACTTTATAATTCAAATAACTTAACCATATAGGTGTTAAATTTGCTCTAAAACCAAGTATAACTTATTTTAAAAATATATTTGTTTATAAACTGCACATGTTAAATTACGATAATTTATCAGCTATTATTTCACTAACATAAATAATAATAATTAGAGAATTAACCAATAAATACTTTAGTATGATCTAGAAACATCAAATCGAGTATAACACAAAAAGTATGAGTACATCGTGATATTCTATTTTCGTAAGAAATATCGGAAGTCTTTTCTCGGTGGCAGGAACCGAATTAAAACCACTTTAATGGGTTAATCTATAGTCCTATTTGTAACAGAAATTAAAACTTTTAAGAGTTCATACAGAATGCAGCAAATAGCAAATTCACGAATCACTTTTCATTTAATCTGGAACTATGTTCGTTTAATTTACTTTTCAAAACAATGATGAAAAATTATTTTGCCAGGTCTTTCATGCACTTTCAAATATATTTCTGCTGTATTTGAAAACGTGCGTAACTCCACGGACCAGAATCCTTGAGAATCTAATTGTGGCTCAGGTAGTCAAACAAAATTCTTGCCTTGTATGAAGACTAAGTTTTATTAGCGTGCTCACAAGAGCGGACTAAAATTCAGAAACATCATAAGTTACCTGACGTGAAGTATACAGATATAACATATTCACACAATTTCTTCAATTTAATTTATTTGTAAAAATAAATTTCAATTTCGATTTGATGAAAAATTCAGCTAAAGAAGTGTACAAACTAGACTAAAATAATTTAAGATGAAGGACTAAAGATCTTGTGTTTAATCTCGCAAAACTGATATTTGCATCGTACGAAATCTTAGTTAGAAAAGGAAATTTAATTGTCTTTTTAAATTCAAATTTGGTCGCACCTGGATTCAACCGCAGGCTCTATTTTCTCAGTTTCTATAACCGCGAATACTTTAACGTACACTAAAGCACCCAATATAACAATTTTAAGAATATTAAAATATAAAAAAAAAATATCGATCAATCTTGTATTATCTATGATCATAGTAATAGGATACATTTCCAGAAAATATTTAAATCTTACCTATTTCTCACAAATTCTGATAACGAAGATATATAATTTTGTATCAAACTCTGGTTTATGTAAACAGCTTTCGAAAATACACTTTGGTCACACCTAGATTCAACTCAGCTTGTCAGTGCACAGTTTCTATGACATGCAGATTTAATGAAGTGTCAGACAACACTTAACGAGATTTTTAATCTCAACAGAAATGTTTTAACGTGAATACCACAAGATGGACACTCCAATATAAATCTGCTACCTTGCTGACTGTGGAAGTCATCTGCTGTTTCTCAATAAAAGGCCGAGATGTTGCTACTTGGTACGAAACGCACGAGGACGACATCACGCTGTGCATTTCAAAAGTTTTGTTTTTAATTTTTCTCGAATTCCCTCTGTAACGAATCGTAAAGCCCGGCTCGTATCTCAAACATCTGCATGTGGACACAGGTCGAGCAGCAAATTGAGTTCTACAAATGTAAGCAGATCACAGAAGTTTCATTTCGTGATCATATAGTCAAATATTTGACTGGTATGCTACATTTAAACGTGAAATTTAAGTGAACTATGAAACGGGATTTCGAAATCCTATAAAACTACTTCTCTTCCTAGAGAAAACAATAAAATCAAGCCTTATTTATGAATAAATTGCGAGCTACATAAGTTATTAAACGGAACAAAGACAAAATATTTAAATTCCATGAAGAAGTCCTTTTCAGAAACTGATAGTAGCTACCTTCAGCTCCTCAAGAAATCATGACTTTTTTGGAGCCCGAATTTTCATTACCGTGTTATTAACAGACCTTCGCCTGTCCTATCCTGAGCCAGGTCAAACCAGTCTACATCTTCCCACAATATTTACCTAAGATCCACTTTAATATTATCCCTCCATTTACACCTAGGCCTTAACCTCAGGTGTTTAAAAACACTCTAATTTCTCATTTCTCCCATACGTTCTAAATTCCCCGCCCATCTTCGCGTCTTTGATTTTATTATCTTAATAATCTCTGGGGAAGAATTCAAATTATGAAATTACAGGGAGACATGTGGCCATTTTTATTTGTTCATGTAAAGAATCAGTCAGTAAATCAGACTGTACACCGTCCAATGACAGAATTACTAAATTAATTGCAAAGAATATAGTAGGACGCGGTAATATTCTAATCAAAAAATAGTGCACTGACATTTTGCTGAAGCGACTGAGTAAAACAAAGGAAAACTCAGTCAGGTTAGCTCGTATCCGGACTAGAGATATGAACCTATGACCTCTAAAATATACAGCAAGACTGCTAGCCACTCGGAGCGACGTTCGACTAACACACGAACATGATGAAAGGTCAACCATAACACTCCTGCCTATGATTATAAGTACAGGAAGAACTGGAAACAGCAGTGGTGATTGGCGTTTGAAATAAGACCGTCAGTCCACTCATACATAACAAGGAACATCAGTTGGTCTCAATACGGCACACCCTTGTACATCTCATAACATGAAGATAAAATAAGATGCTGCAATAGATTAGGTCTACACAGGTCTTCATGTTTCCAGATCGTTCTTTGCTAATATGTTTCTCCTATTTCTCTGTTGTACATTTATTGCGCATGGCAAATAATTGTTTATTTATTAGAACACGTGCTAATTTTTTTTTTCTGAAACTGAATCGGTCCTTGTCTATTTGGAGATAAAGGTAAATGTTTTTAGTGATAATGCAGCAAATATCTCGTAGAAATTGTCCTACGTCTCATAAATGCTTGCTGTTCCCATTATCAGTGTCACCACCCAGATGATGGAGGCAGTAAGTGCCTCTAACACGTCTGTCGATTTCTATGAGACTAACGGCTTAACATCCCAGAAGACCTTTTTTATACTGGCCGCCGTATGAAGCTGAAGGAAAACTATGAAGAAACTGATCTGGTAAGCTATTTAAAACGTCGCTGGTAAGTTTATTTTGTATTGTATACATACTTTCTATAGTTAGTGATAATATGTGAGTCATATCGCCAACCCTGCAGTCCACTATCTTCTATTGAAATGTATTTTAATTACTTAACTTTAACATTTATGGCTAACATCAAAATATATCGAGACGTATTCCCCTCTTTAATGTTTTTTTTTTCTTTTCATACATGCTTAAAAATAAGTAGGTCACATTACTCATAATTATCTTGCAATTTGAAGCCTTGAAAACTAATTAGACCTAAGTTGTAACTTTGAGACTAAAGAGTGAAGACAATGAATGAAGCCGAGTGCAATTTATTAATTGGCCAACGACTGCGCGGAGGTTGAGGAGATTATTTTTCCGGTAATTATGTATTATTAGAACATTGCTTTTAAAACAATTTTTTGTAAATTAAGAAATAAACTAGTAATTTATCCAGCCACCTGATTCCTTGTCCTTGAAAAAGCATCTACATTCACATCTTTACGACTAAATTAATTTACTTTGTTCACAAGCTGTAAGAAGATACCGTTTTAAGAGTTCTTTGCATGAAGTAATTAAAAAGGAAACACAGTGAGAACTCGGATTTGCCACAAGCGAGTTACACGCTTCTGTTTCGAGTTTACTTTCTCGGATTGTGTCCGTGGCGATGCGTTGTGGGTACATTGAAAGGAGAGCATAGACTACCAGGAAGACATAAATAGTTTGTATGTTTCGTTAATCACAGATGTACGTCTCTTTTTATTTTATCATCATCAGCATTATTATCCTACAGAGTGGGTTAGCAAAAGCTGTAAATCGTCCGACTTGCTTTCGAAATATACGCAATTCGAGTCTCTATATTAGAATTTGTTTTACTATCCAGTCTCACAGGATAGAACCTTATAATAGGCACTACAGTATCCTTCCTGTTCCTTACGTAATCACTGCACGCTCTATATCAGGGGTGGCCAACCCAAATGATCTTTCGGGCCACTTTGGAAATGCATCATAACTCTGCGGGCCACATATAAAATTATATATCCCCATATTAGATTTAGATACACTATAGACATTTTTTTGGAGTGAAAAATTGAAACATAATGAGTTATTATTATTGTGTTTACTATTATTCTTACATGTAAACATAGATAATATAATAATAATGATACTAAGCGTACATTGTAAAGAAATATATAGCACTAAAAATTAAATATAAATATATTTTGTAAAAGTGTGATGAATGTCGCGGGCCGGAAAAATGTTCAAGGCGGGCCACATGCGACCCGCGGGCCGCGTGTTGGTCACCCCTGGTCTAGAATCTACGTCACACACGTCAGACTGGGTGACTACTGAGGACAGCTTAAAAATAGAGCTAGAGTCGCCCTGATGACGGAAACAGTAATGACCTCTGAAACACTGGTAAGTATCTACCAATGTTACGGCACATCATCCCAGAATATAGCCATATTCGGACTAACCGCCTTGAAAACCTCAAATCCTACATGAAGAAACGTTATTCGTATTTTCTTCTTCAAAATCTCAACAACCTCATTAACTACTGCACTACAGTCTTGAATTAGAATCATCCTCTACTTACTGGAGCTGAATGAAAACAGTCAGTAAACACAAAGTAAATGCTGGTAGCGTGTATGTAGGCTTACTCACCTGCCCGTTTTCGTGATGATCATCTCCGTCCCCAGGTCGTGGAACTTGTCCCACAAGTCCTTGGTCTCGAGGTGGCACTCAGCCTGCAGAAGCTCCTCGCAGTTACAGCGGATTTTCACCTTGGCAGCTGCTCCCGCCTTCTCGTCTGCCGGATCTGGGGAGTCCCCGTCCCTCTCGTCACCTTGCTCCGAACCTGACTCCGAGGTGGCCGGCTTCAGCAGTTTTCCGGCTCCCAGCCTTTGATCGTGTTGCTGCATCGTCTCACTGTCCGAACATTCCTCGACGTCTACCTCAATGTCTTCGTCATCATCGTCCACTGCCGGGTGATCATCCGTGTCCGAGGTATGGATCATTTCAACTTCGTCCACGCACTCGAGGCGTCCACCTCTAACCCGACGGCCTAACTTGCTGTCCTCGTCATCCATTTCGGCGTCGCGAGCTGCCTCGTGCCTGCGGCCAGCTGACTGTGACAGTCTCTCTGCGCAAACACAGAAAAAGGAATGGATTAATATCACATTTAAGTGACATTCTCGAGTAGATGAGTATGAAGATGGCTTATTCTGGAATGCTGCAGAGTGTAGTCTCTTAGATATTGACTGGAGTTTCAGAGGAACTTATTAACTTAATCGAAGCTGTAAGCTCGTCTGAAACGTTGGTCAGTATCTATCAGACTGTGATGCAAAATGAGTGTTCTTCCATCATCCTGAAGTCGTCCTTGAGAAGTCTCTAAACTGATCAAGAATATCCTAACCTCTTATGGAACCCGGAGGTTCATTTCAGTGTTTATAAGAGGTCACTGGCTGTGGACTAAACGACCGAGGTTTGATTTCCTTACAGGGGCAAAGCTTTTTTCCATTCGCCATCAAATCCAGACAGACTCTGTCCCACAGAACTTGTTATATGCACTGAGACAGCGCTGGCCACTTAACTCCAGTACAGTTGAGATTAAGAATTCACAGGGAGCTGTACTTTATCAAGTATTGGCTTATTTGCTTTTACCATTCACAGAATTTAAATTACAAAAGCATTACCATCGAGCTTCACAGCATCTAAAGGCCTCTTGGCATCTGTGTTAAATTTCTGCATTAGGAATGAACATTTACATTCAAACCTTCACTTTGCTCTAGGCACAAAGAAGCTTAATAAACACGAATGTCCAAATAGTATTTTTGTCACCATAAAATCCTATCAGTAGAGTCGTATGTGATTGACATGTACATATAACATGCCTATTCAGTTTTCAGTATATCTCTGTAAGTAAAAAGTATAACCACGTTTATATTTCCTACATTATAATCTATTCTACTCTACCTTACATTTCTATTGACCTCCATAATGCTCAGTTCTGTTCTGCTCCATTATTTTCCGTCGTGTTTCATTACATTCTGTACTGATTTATCCAACTCAATTCTGCTTTTAAATTGTTTTATTTTACATTGTTTTGCTTCGTTTTATTAAATTATATTTTGTTGTGTTCTACGTCAGTCTAATCCTCTCACCTCTGTTTCATTTCATTCATTTTGCTACATTCTATATTGTTTTATTTCATTCTGGTATAGTCTGTTCTAATCTTCTCTGTTCTGTTGCATTCTCTAGATCAGGGGTGCCCAACCCGCGGCCCGCCTTGAACATTTTATATTTCTTTACAATGTACGCTTAGTATCATTATTATTATATTATCTATGTTTACATGTAAGAATAATAGTAAACACAATAATAATAACTCATTATGTTTCAATTTTTCACTCCAAAAAAATGTCTATAGTGTATCTAAATCTAATATGGGGATATATAATTTTATATGTGGCCCGCAGAGTTATGATGCATTTCCAAAGTGGCCCGAAAGATCATTTGGGTTGGCCACCCCTGATATAGAGCGTGCAGTGATTACGTAAGGAACAGGAAGGATACTGCTGAACTCATTTTCCATAAGTAGTGTTGGGAGGTGAATCGGTGTTTCCCTTGAAACAATTTATACTTCAATAACCAGTCAACAGGTCGTAATGGCGTATCAATTATAGGCTTACACGGTCACCACGCAATCCACTTTCTTTAGTAATGCCATTGTTCGTATTAAGTTACATATTTTCAGACAGACATTTTTATGCATTGATTATAGCAATCGGAAGAAAATGGATGAAAGTCAAGCATGTATCAGGTCGGGCTAAACAAACCAAAAGGGAACAAGAAAAGTAGTAAGTTCTTCTTTTAATTTTTATAATAATTTCATAAACAGGCCGTAATCTATCTACAGCGTTAAGAAATAAATCACTTAAATTAGACCAATGTTACTAAATGTAAATCCCTGAGGTTAAAAGTAACAATGAGAAATTAGTTTCATGCTGAAGTTAGAAGAATAATTTCGCAAAATTTTGTTAATATTCGGTTCAAAAACTATTATTAATCTTCCCTTTTCCCAAAAGACTGGATATCTGAAAACACAGCAACAATCCTGTCACTTGATGAAAAACTCTCGGGTTACGAGCCTTGTCATGTGGCTGAATGCTGATTAAACCAAATCTTCTGCCAACGTTTCGAGAGCAATTTCTGCTCTCTTCGTCAAGGCTGCTGCGTAACAAATCTGGTCCTTTGTAGCGCGCTCGCCGATGTTCCTGAAGGACCGGATTTGTTACGCAGCATCCCTGACGATGAAAACAGAAATTGCTCTCGAAACGTTGACAGAGGATATGGTTCGTTGTTTTGTATGGATGCAAAATGTGGACTCTTATTTTGAGAAAAACATACATATAAGGGGGTTTAAAGAAAGTGCGTAGTGATATATGTGATCCTAAGAAAGATGTGGTGCCCAATTTAGAATAATTGGGTCTATATGTTAATGAACCTCGTCATTTATTGATACATATTATCATCTAGTATTGTTACGGCTTAGAGCGTTAAAGTGACTTTGGTGGCGAAACTTAAGCCGGAAGACCGAGAATGAGTTGGACAACTTTATACTATGTGATGGGAAAGTTCCTAGTCAGGATGGGAATCGAAGTGTCTCAGGATCGTGTCAAATAGCCGGCTGACTTGCTGGCTGCTTTTGGTGATAAACCTGTAAGTTCCGCTGCCAAAATGTTTGTTAATTACATTCTGTATACAGACATAAACCTGAAAGTTGTGTAAATATACGGCCTATATCGAGACTTGTATTCGGGAGGTACACAGTTCGAATCTCCGCAGAGGAATTCTTCATCATGACTAAGATTTTTCGTAGATTTCCTATGCCTCTCAAGGTGTGTGTATATAAGGGATATTATCTTTAAATAACTAGTCTAAAATTGCCTCCTTCAAAATCGTAACCTACCACTATCTTCCAGTTTTACTCATGCAGTTGGAACAGCGACTTTAAACGAACTTAAGAATTAGTCAGTACTTGTAGACTGGGCAAGTAGGGATGAAATATTACTAAATTCCCCAGGCGATAGTAAGGTCAGTGCGACTTCGTGTTATCTCCAAACTATTACTACTCTTGTCAGCGCCATGTTATCACCGATGTATTGAAACATGGATGACAAACAGTTGGCGCCAATGCCCGGTTTCCACGACTGAGATTTAGGTTGACAGCCGTAATAACCCTACAGGTTCCATTCATATTACCGTCTGGAGCAACTCAATAAACAACTTACCCCCCGGAATTTTGTGTCAGTGTAGTAACGCCTTGTTGACTTGAAGATAGATACCAACGTTTCGGAGAAATATACTAGTTCCATCTTTTTGTTGTGGATTATTCCAGATTTATGTCAATTCGATAAACAGACTGCATAAAATCAGATATAAGAAAAACTCTCACTAATGAAATAAGTCGCCTGTCTTGCAAACACACACAAGAACTTTAAAAACATATGCTCCAGCAGATAGACCTATCTTAGTAATGACAAAAAACATCTAACGCAACTTCTTGCTGGTAACTAGACCCACCCAACTAAACACAACACAGTCTTTGAGAAGCTGACAGTTGTTCAGTTGACCAAAGAATTACATGCCTTTTTACAGAATCCACAGTTTCATTGTCGTATTCACAAGACCACGTCACTAAACCCCATCCAGCGAAAAGTTTCGCTTTCCCTGGGCTAGAAAATAAAACGTGACGATGGTAAAAACAGTCAACTGTTCTATAAGAAATGCTTCGTAATCTGTAGGTTTTATCCTGTACGAAGTTACTCTACCCAGCTCAAAACATGTTTTTAAATATCTTCTTAACACACGTAAATCAAGAGACTTCAAAATAAAGAACACTGTATAAACCTACGTAATTAAATCTAAGACCTTACTGTTTCACTACCCGTATTATTATACCAGTGTGTTTTTAACTTTCAGCTTGTATTTCAATTGAAGTTTTAATTTACCAGTAATTTCGATAAATAAACATGAAGCATACGAGCTTGGAGGTAAATTTTCGAGGTAATTTAGAGCTACCTGTAGCATCCTATCACGTTTCAGGTGCCTGAATGATGTAAGAATACTGGGGAGGAAACCATTTAGCTAGATAGGATCGTACAATTTGAGCTCTCGCTAGAGATTTCAATGAACTTGTCCTTTTGATTACCGGGTGCTTAGTTATGGCTCCCCGCTGTAATGAAGACATAAAGGAAGCAGATGGCTTGCGTCAAATGTACATATCCCATGGGCTCTTTTGGTTCGTACAGACTAATAGCTACTGTATAGAGATCATCAGTGTTTTTGGTCACCGTAACATTTCTTGGAAAATCTGTACATTTCAAAAATTTTCGAAACAAGCTCAAGAACATTATGTTCGGTCATTCGTGCGTTTTGAATAAAGAGACTTTAAGATAACTCATAAGACACTCCAATATACAAGTTTTGCTCTTTAAAAGTTGGAGGTTTTACAGGTTTTCAATATATATACTACTTTCATCTTATCCGAAGATTCATTATCGATTCACGTGTACAAAATGTGAAGTTCCTCCTGTTAGATCCAAATAGGCTATTCCCTCAACACTCTTTTCTCAAACATCCTTAATTTATATGAGATTTCAGGTCCTCACGGCGACGTGTATAAAGATGGCTGTCTTCAGGGAAACCTCGCCTTATAGTCTGGTATAAGCGACCGGACATTTCAGAAGTTTTCCTGCCCTCATCATCAGAGCGCTGATCATCCTGATGATGGAGGCAGTAAGTACCAATTTCTATCAGACTACACGGCGTAGCAACCCCGAAGACAGCCATCTTCACCCTCAGTTTGTTTTTTCCCTTGTAATGAGAGAAAGTACACGCACCCCATATAAAACAACATGCAGTCTAATGTTATAAGTAGTAGCAATTCAAAATATTCAGACGCTCCGATCATATTCATTATTAAGTTAATTCTATTACGCTTATAAATCAAGAAACGCCATAGGGAATAGTAGCAATTCAAAATACTCAGACGCTCCGATCATATTTTTTTTTGTAGATTTATCTTTTACTGCTATAACAGCTGACAAATATGGTCGCTGTCGGCATCCTACGTAACAC